TTAGAATCGAAAGCGTTTCATTAGATTCACAAATTTGGACTTTGTACTTCTGGACATGAATTTTACTTTCACACTTTCATTGTATAATTTGTACTTAAAAATTAATTCTATTACGTTATGACACGTCAGAAAAGATAATAATAATTATTACAAATGATATGATAACCCTAAATACCTTTCGTACAAAGTTCCACTATGTTTTATGTAACGAAACCAAGTGTCCGGATACTTATGGACGATAGTGTATATGTATACTAATATATGGTACATACATTTTGAAGAGATAATATCAATAAATAGATTTACTTTTTATAGTGATTGGACTATTAGAAAAACTGTATGTACCATATATTAGTATATACATATATGGAACAGCAGACCAAGTGTAATTTTTATCAATAATATACACAATATTAGTAGTTTCTAATATATGGGGGTAGTTAATAAGATATACTGTTAATTTCAGGAATTTATAAAATTTGAGAATATGTACATTCTGACAATTCTTGAATTTATAAAAATGAAAGTGTAGAAACTGAAATTGATATACGACTAAAATACAAATTCTTAAAATCCACAAAGTGCATACTAATGCATTATCTTAACAACACAAAAAGTCATAAAGAATCAGACTTGTTACCTGTCCGCAGCGAAATATTAGCCATAAACGGAAAAGTAGAAGTAATTAACTGAATATCCACGTGGCGAGTCTGGCTTTTACTACGAAACTCTTACCTGAAACAAGAAAACGGAACTGTTTAAAAATACATACTTGCGTACATCGTCTGATCGATAAGAACGTTATGCGAGCTGTTACTTTTTACTACGAATTTTTTTTTATCGTACACTTCGGTGGAAAGCGTTTCAAAGAAATATGGAGAAACACGCAATAATTGTGATCGGTTGCACGTGTTATTGCCTCTGACCATGAAATTATGACCACTCGATATCTTTTACAGTTTTCACGATTTTAGTGAAACTGAAAGATATGTGCGGACTTTCATTTGGACAATTGTTAACGTGGAACACATATGTATATTGTGGATAGTATACTAATATATGGTACATACATTTTGAAGAGATAATATCAATAAATAGATTTACTTTTTATAGTGATTGGACTATTAGAAAAACTGTATGTACCATATATTAGTATATACATATATGGAACAGCAGACCAAGTGTAATTTTTATCAATAATATACACAATATTAGTAGTTTCTAATATATGGGGGTAGTTAATAAGATATACTGTTAATTTCAGGAATTTATAAAATTTGAGAATATGTACATTCTGACAATTCTTGAATTTATAAAAATGAAAGTGTAGAAACTGAAATTGATATACGACTAAAATACAAATTCTTAAAATCCACAAAGTGCATACTAATGCATTATCTTAACAACACAAAAAGTCATAAAGAATCAGACTTGTTACCTGTCCGCAGCGAAATATTAGCCATAAACGGAAAAGTAGAAGTAATTAACTGAATATCCACGTGGCGAGTCTGGCTTTTACTACGAAACTCTTACCTGAAACAAGAAAACGGAACTGTTTAAAAATACATACTTGCGTACATCGTCTGATCGATAAGAACGTTATGCGAGCTGTTACTTTTTACTACGAATTTTTTTTTATCGTACACTTCGGTGGAAAGCGTTTCAAAGAAATATGGAGAAACACGCAATAATTGTGATCGGTTGCACGTGTTATTGCCTCTGACCATGAAATTATGACCACTCGATATCTTTTACAGTTTTCACGATTTTAGTGAAACTGAAAGATATGTGCGGACTTTCATTTGGACAATTGTTAACGTGGAACACATATGTATATTGTGGATATGGCAGTGAGATGTGGAGACACAATGAGATGTACATTTTTGGAAGATAATAACAACATAAGATAAAATATTTAAATTCTTAAATACTACAAAGTTCATACTATTAAATTATTAAATATTCATGTCCATTTTTAAATTATGTGTTTCTGAAATTTTCAAGATTTCAAACTTTAAGATAAAATTAATAATTGAAATTAATATTGGAATTATTAATTCTGATATTAGTTGATGAATGTTGATAAAAAATAGTCGATAAAAATTGATAAAAAATAGTTGATCAACTAGTGATAATTCCTCTTTTTAGAGGATTCCACATTTCAAGTTCCCCATAAAATCTCACCATGCTCGACAATTAAAAAAAAAAAAGAAAAAAAAATACCTAAAGACTTCCAAAAATTAAGGCAACCCAAAAAAATACAGAAGACTTGAAGAAACTAAGGAAATCAAAAAAATCCAAAAATTTAAAAACAAGGTTGCAAAAACCCCTACCTTCTGAAAAATAGCTAGGGAAATTCTAAAAAAATAGCAAAACCCTAGAAACTATAGAAAATGTAAAGAAGATCAAAAGAGAATTCCAAAAAACAAAACTCCTAAAAAATAAAATTCTAAAAAAATCCTACGAAATACCAAATAAAATCCTAAAAAGAAAAAAAAATATTTTAAAAAAAGAAATGGATCCTTATAGAATTCCACATGTATATGTCTTTAACTTGCCACTAATTTCCCTCTAAAGCACCTACTTATACCACCGTTTACCATTCGCCTACGCTCCAAGCCAATAAGCAAATTATTCTGACAAGATGTTCGGGATAAAAAGAGAGAAGAATTAGCGTGTCAGAGGCTCCTTCCGTAGTTCTTTCGATGCAACGCGTAATTTCAAGAAAGAAACGTTCAATCAGTTTCCGCGTTACGTTTTTCTTTTTTCACAGAAATTGCACGGCACTGCATTGCCGTGATTTTTCCACGTTCGTGTTCTCCGTTTGTCGGAGCATCGACCGGAAACGACTTTATTTATTACGCTCCCGTTTCGCGAACGCAGGTATTGATAGCCCTATGTACATTAAAATCGTTCGCGGATTTCTCCTTTTCCATTAAAAGTCATTACCGAACGTTTCAGAACGTTTCTTCTCAAACCTAGAAACTTTGCTCGAACTAAAAGTTTTAATATCGTTGTTTTTTGTCTGTGAGAAGAAATATTTTTTCGAATGCAATTTGTCTCGTACTATTATTTGAGAGTTTCGAAAAAATATGGATGCAGTATTGTAAATATTTATTATGAAATTCTTTGTAAAATAGATTATATTATATTTGATAATAAAAGACATTTCTTAGATATAGAAGAATACGAGGACGTGTATGTACAACTGTACGTATATTTGCAGAGCGTGTTTTTATTATTTGTAGCTTTGATAAGTACAGTTTATAAGAAAAGTCTGTTTCTTATGATTTTTAAACTGTTGAAATTTCGAAATAAACTCCACGACTTTTATACAATAATTTATTAACTAATTACATGTGTTTTTTAAATACACCGCGTGTTAACCTTCGCGAACCGGCCAATGTCGCGCCGTAAATTACCGAACACTGCCGAATCGTTCCGATCGGACACATACATCGAAAACACGTAGTTATTCCTTTTTAACGTTTCTTTCTAACAAAGATGATGAAAATAGAAAGAAGAGAGTGTTGTAGACGTCAGAAAAGAGTTGATTACTCAATAAATTGATGCAATAGAGACGAATTGAGAACAAATTGATACAATTTCTTTTTTCATCCGGCCGATCGCTCGTTCTTAAATTAGCTGTCACGCTTCTGTCGTGCTCTCCTCTTTCTCCCACATTCTCTCATGAAATAACTGTTCGAAAGACTTGGTTTAATGTAGCAAAAAATTAAAAGGTGAGAGAACTTCCCTAAAGTTCTTCATTTTCGACTTTTCCCGAATGTGACTAACTTTATTTAAATATAAAACTGGCTCCGAGAAATTTCCCATTCGAAGTTTCATCAAAGACCCCTCATAAATATATTCTGACATTTGAAAATTTTTACGGATATTGGAGTATTTACGACGCAATAAATTCAGTCACAATTATTCACAATCTCGAAAACGCGCTTTTTGCGGCTATTAAGTAGGGAGACAGCTAAATGGCATTTCAAGGCAGACAACAAATTAACGAAGTTATGTCGCTGTCAGTGAAGAGGCAAGATGGTGATCTCATAACGGGGAAAGGAGAAAGTGTGTCGCCAACGTAAACCTTCTTCCACGCTCGTTTCCTTCTACGAAACTTTCGTGGTTACGTTACGTGGCCTTTCTCTGTCTTGTTCTTCGGCTTCGTTATGGATCCGCAAGACTCTTCCTGGCCCTGATAGCTCTAATGCGCGGTTACTCACTGCTTCGGCTAAATACTCTGCTTTCCCCATTATTTCTGTCCAAATTAATTTTATGCAATTCTATTAGACAATTTTCATCTAGATCTCTGTTAATCTCTCATCTCGGAATTAGAAATTTGTTCGCGAGCCACATAACTGCAAAGTTATCTCTTGTATTACATTGTGTTATCTGTCTTCTGATTACGAATATTTTGACCAACTTTTACTTTGGAAATGATGTGAATTGCACTGTAATGTACGTGTAAATGTACGCGGAATATGTAGAGTTTTTTGTACGAATTTATGAATGAATACTGGAAAAGTCTTTGGGTAAAATTCTTGGTGAAATTTAACGACAATGGTGAACAAAACTCTGTCCCTGAAGGGATTAAGCCACTGCCATGCTTCCGACCTTAATTACCAGGTCAAGGTATCTTTATTGACGAGACCCTTAATTTAATAAAATATAACGTTTCTTTCGCAAATCCCGTTATCTGCTAGAATTAGAAATACTATTTCATATAAAACCACCTCTATCATATAAAAATATTAACTACATAAACTAGAAAGGAGAAAACATCTATCATAAGGAAAAAATTGAACGATGACCTTGACAAAATATTTGAAGGTCATTGACCTTCAATCAATGTAGCAAGTGTAACGATAATTTTTCATAATTACCATAAGAATAATTCAAATAAAATAGATAGCTAAAAGTGTAAATCACCATTCTGATATAGTGAACAAGTCCTAATTGTTATAAGTCCTAATACATTTCTTGAATTACAGGAAGACGAATCCCATGAACGAGCAAGCATCCCCTTCGACCGCACAATGAAGAGAAGAAGCTCCCACGAGTCGTTCTCAGTGCATCGGATAGAAAGAATCGGCACCCGACCACCGGACATCCCCTCACGGTGAAACTTCAACCCACGTGATGTCATACGAACCATCCAGATCACTCGAAGATCCAAAATTTCCTTCGACCAAGTTCGCAAGACCTCAATTGAAAAAGAATGGTATTCAGCGCGATCGTGGTCACATCGGCGTTGAAGGGTGCCCTAGGTTTGATGGGCACCAGTTTGTGGCTGATCCCTCTACTCATAGCCGGCTTATCCTACTACCGTTACGATCAACTAGACCCCGAAAGTCGACCTATCGATCGATACCCTCTGTACGCAGAGTACGACTTCGTGGTGGTAGGTGGAGGGTCAGCAGGAGCGGTGGTCGCCAGCAGACTGTCAGAGATACCCAACTGGAACGTGTTGTTGTTAGAAGCTGGCCCTGACGAGAACGAGATAACCGACGTGCCATCGTTAGCAGCGTACCTTCAGCTGACAAAATTGGACTGGAAGTATAAAACGGAGCCAACAGGAAGAGCTTGCTTGGGCATGAAGGCAGGCCGTTGCAATTGGCCTCGAGGTAAAGTGTTAGGAGGCTCCAGTGTCCTCAACTACATGTTATACGTACGAGGGAACAAACACGACTACGACTACTGGGAATCCCTGGGTAATCCTGGATGGGGATACGATCAGGCGCTCTATTACTTCAAGAAGTCCGAGGACAACCGAAACCCGTACCTCCAGAAGAGTCCCTACCACTCCACAGGTGGTTACCTAACTGTACAGGAGTCTCCCTGGAAGACACCCTTAGTAGTTGCGTTCGTGCAGGCCGGTACCGAGATAGGTTACGAGAACAGGGACATAAACGGAGCACGACAGACGGGCTTCATGATTGCTCAGGGCACAATACGTAGGGGTAGTAGGTGCTCCACTGCGAAGGCGTTCCTCAGACCGATTCGTCTGCGTCGAAACATCCACACAGCCATGAACTCGCACGTTACCAAAATTCTGATCGACCCGATAACCCTGAGGGCTACGGGTGTGGAGTTCTTCAGGGACGGTCGTAGACAGATCGTCCGTGCAAGGAAGGAGGTGATCCTGTCGGCGGGAGCCATTAACAGTCCCCAGATTCTGATGCTGTCGGGTATAGGTCCCAAGGAACACCTGCGCCAGATGGGAATCCGCGTGATCAAGGACTTGAAAGTGGGAGACAATCTTCAGGATCACGTTGGAATGGGTGGTCTAACGTTTCTAATCGATAAGCCAGTAGCTATTGTACAGGATCGTTTTCAAGCTGCTCCCGTGACGATGCACTATGTGGCCAACGGCAGGGGACCGATGACCACCCTGGGTGGCGTGGAAGGATACGCCTTCGTCAACACCAAATTCGCGAATCTGTCTATGGACTATCCGGACATCCAGCTGCACATGGCGCCCGCGTCAATTAACTCGGACAACGGCATCCAGGTGAAGAAGGTGCTGGGGATAACCGACGAGGTTTACAACACTGTGTACAGACCCATCGCGAACAAGGACGCCTGGACCATCATGCCTCTTCTTCTTAGGCCCAGATCTCGTGGGACGGTCAGGCTACGGAGTTCCAACCCGTTTCACAGTCCGGTGATAGACGCAAACTACTTCTCTGATCCCAACGACATCGCCACACTGGTCGAAGGTGCCAAAATCGCAGTCAGGGTCAGCGAGGCTAAGGTCTTCAAGCAGTTCGGTTCGAGGATTCACAGAATCAAGTTGCCGAATTGCAAGCACTTGAAGTTCGCATCGGACGCTTACTGGGAATGCCACATTCGACATATCACCATGACGATTTATCACCCGGTTGGGACGGCCAAAATGGGGCCACCGAGTGATCCTGACGCCGTCGTGGACGCCAGGTTGAGGGTCTACGGTGTGAAAGGGCTAAGGGTGATCGATGCGTCGATCATGCCAACGATATGCAGCGGAAACACGAATGCGCCGATTATCATGATCGGGGAAAAGGGTGCAGATCTGATCAAAAGTGACTGGCTGTCTATAGAGACTAGCAGCTGATATTTTCTAGTGAATATCAAGGCAACAGGACATTTTATGCAATTCGTTGACTTTAACACCTTATCTTATACAGAACAACTTAATGATATGCGCTGACCTCGTTGCATGTCGAATACTGCGGAGGCTTAGCAGGCTTAAAGCGGCGTTTACATTAAGCGACTTTTCTTTGAACTAAGTTTTTCTTTGAAACTAAATGGCTTACTAATTGTAAGACTTCGTTGTCCGATATTATTATCGTTTTGAATAACTGGCTGGGTACAGAGATCACGTGTGTGATGTGCAAACATGCGGTTCACATAAAAGTGACGTATCTCTGAAGATTCTTGAATTGGCAATGTAAAGAAAGGTCTTCTATGTAGCGAGTCTTCTAAGTCTATGTCTTCTAAGTAAGCTTGCGATATTAAACAGGAAGTTAAATTTGTAAATTAGAAACATGTTAATTCGTTTGATTCAAAATATGAAAATTTTATACATTTCAAAAAGTTGCTCCAAATTATAAAATCTGAAAGTTTAAAATTATGTGTTGTAAGATTATGACAAATTATAGTAGGTGAATTTACTTTTTGATAAGGTGTTCATATCAAAAAAAGATTGTTGTGTTTATATTTTATGGATAAAGTCAATGTAGAGTTGTTGAACTCTGAACATGTATCAAAAATTTGTTATAGTATATTTGTTAAATACATGTATTATGTATGTATATTATGTACATAGCAAGTTTTGTTGATTTAATTATATCGTGATTGTTGATTCATAGAATATTAATTGTTAAATGACTTATAAGTGAAAAGAAATTGATAAGAAAATTTTGTTTGATGTTTGATTAATATACGAATAGGCATGTTAACAATTTTTTATTGAATTCAAAAAGAATTAATTTTTTGAAATATGTTTAAAACATTCTGAAATTTTTGCTGTTTACGATGTTAATGAATATGGACATACTGAAGCGTTAGACAAAAGGTTGTTAATAAAATATAAAAATGTAGAAAAAAAATTGTCATTATACGTCAAGATTGTTCGTTAGAATAAACAAAACATTATATGCAAATAATAGAGGAGCTGTAACATATGTTTGTTAAATTAGTTTAGTAAAAGGAATTATGACATTCGCTAATTTAAATTATGATAGTCATTTTTGAATAAATTTTCATTTATGTGTTTGTATAGGTAATATGACTGCGTTTGAGAGATATTTTTGTATTTACAATTATAAAATTACGAAATTAGTGAAGTTTTTAATTTCCGAACTTTTGAATATCCAGACTCCTAAATTTCTGAATTCCTGAACTTCTAAATTTTTTAATTTTTAAACTTTAAAAGATATTTAGAAAGCTTGTTACCATATTACAGAATTATCAATTTCCAAATAAATTAGATATAAATCTAAATACAGAATTGTCTAGTTTCTTAATTTCTATACTTCTAGGAGCCAAATTGCAAGTATCCAGATTTCTATGTTTCTATATTTCTGAATTTGTATATTTCTACATCCTTATGTTTGTTATAGTCCAACATTCTTACATTCCTATATTTGTACATTCCTACATTCCTACATTTCTGTATTACTGTTTTTCCAAACAAGCAAATTATTGAATTTGAAACTGAAGACTACAAACTGACAAATTTGCACAATTTACAATTTTAAATTTGAAAACTTAAAAAATATAAAAATTTCAATATTAAAAAATTTTAATATTCGAAATTACAAAAATTGAAAGTCACATTTCGCATAAAATTTCTAAAAATTCCTCGTTTCATTTTTATGTACATTTTTAAATCCCTAGATGCATCCCTTAAAAAGCATACTCTTCGTCTTTTTTCCACAAAGAGTCTTTCGAGGAAAAACGATTCAGTCATGAATAATAATATTTCAATTATAAAATATAATAAATGTTTACTCATGGAAAAATGATGCCAAAAGTGTTATTTAATCATGAATGATTTTTACATGACTGAATATTTATTCCACGATTGAAATTAGGTTACAGGATGGAGGATCGTCTGAAGATTTCAGTATAACCAAAGTAAGTACATTTTTATTTTTCTCTGAAATGAGACTCTCAAAATGATAATTAAAAAATGTTTTAATCACTGTTAATTTTTTAACTGTTACGTGCTTTTTATTATTACACCATAACAGCTTCTATGCGTAGTTTAAAGGGGAGAAACACAACTGCGGAATAAAATAAATTATACCTTAGCATATTAATACACAAGGATAAAATATTCCTTAAATAAACGAACAAAACTTGTACGTGTATGAGCGAGACCAAGTAAACAGTTCATTATTTCCCTTTTTTAAATTACTGAGGTTAAAACAGAACCTGTTCATCGGTCACTTTTTCCGTATAAAGGAAGACAGTGGCCAATGTGCGTAATGGTTTAATTCGCAGAATGGCTATAAATAGCTACCGGATTTATGGGACAAGTATTTGTCGATTCATTGACGTATTAATTTTTAAGATATATTAAAGGAAGTAATGCTAATATCAATATTCGATTACCAGAATTGTTTTTGAAATTTTGGACAAGGAAAGATTATTGGTCTTAAATTGAGGACTATAAAAACAATTTGAGAGGGTTCGAAGCCTCTGTTCGATATCACCCCTTGCATTACTACACTCCCTGGCCATCGAATTACCACTATAAATTTTCAGCATTTTTCACGTTTTCCGTAAAATTAGACCTGTTCAAATTGTAATGATATTTATTAGCTGCTAACATAACTACTACTGTACATAACATTATTAACACATGTTAATATCTTGTATTTCCTTTGCTTTGGTCACAGCGGCATGCTCTGTATACATCATATGCTTTATGTCTTCATTTTCCCAAATATCTGTAATTCTTTTCAACTCAGATAATGTTGGAGAGTTGTAAACTAGTCTTTTGAGTGGGCAGACATTTTCTATGGCGTTCAAATTTCACCTGACACGCTATCGATACTCGAGCCTAACGTAAACTCACACGGCCCTTAATCGCTCATCACCCACACAATTTATTATCACGATAGTAACAAATTGCTATGTATATATCGTTATCAACGTATTTAATAATAATTTTGCATGACCTACGACAATTTTCCATATGTAACGTAATGTTATAAACATAAAAGTGAAATTGTCGTACGTGGTCCTAATTCGATGGCCAGGGTCTCGACTCGTGCGTCAGATCAAACTATCTGCTAGGATATGAAAACCGGCAAAGAAAATTAAAATCCCACAGCAGAATCTATGACAATTTCAACAATTTCAAAATCTAAATATTTACGGGGAAAATAATTTGAGAAGTCAATAACTTGAAAATTTATGAAATTTGTGGAAGTCAAATCTTGAAAATAAAAATATTTGACAATCCAGAGATAAAAAAGTTAGGAAATCAAACAAATGTAAAATTTGTAAAGATTGAAAATTTCGAAAACTAAAAACTTCAAAACCTAGCCCAACAACAAAAAATACCATAATTAAACCTATGAATGTCTTCGAATGCAAGTCGCTTGACATCCGCCTGTCCTTAACTCAACAGTTTTCATCAAAGAAAATTTCCGAACAATCTTACGAAATTCCATTCTCGCTAAAAATCTGTAAAAACATTCTTCAATCAAATCAGCTGACACGTCGTACACCGCGTTTCCTCGTACGATCCAGCCGCAAAAAAGGAAACAATAATCACCTCGTTATATAGTCCGCGTTCGATCCGCACATGACATTTCCCCCGCGAAGACCATCCACAATGAACACGAACGTCAGTTTCATTTTCATCATCTCGCGACTCGTTTACCTGTTGCCGATGACTCTGCTCATTTTCCCGAATCAGTATAAGTCCAACGCCGAACGACATTACCCTAACCTATACGGCTACCGTTCCAATACGTCGATATTTGAGAACATGTTCGGTGCCGCGATAGGAGGTCTAAACTTCCTGTTCGCCAACCAACAATTTCTAGCAGCCGCCCAGCCGGACACGACACCTCCATCCAACTCTGTCTACGACTTCATCGTCGTGGGTGCAGGAACAGCGGGTGCTACAGTAGCTTCCAGACTCAGCGAGATCGACGGTTTCAGGGTGCTGCTGATAGAAGGTGGGCCTGAGGAGACCCTGTTCATGGACGTGCCCGTAGCGGCCAATTTTATTCAGCGCATCAACGAGATAGACTGGAAGTACGAGACTGAGCCATCCAACAAGTACTGCAAGGGTATGAAAGGTCACAGGTGCAAGTGGCCCAGGGGCAAGGTGATGGGCGGCAGTAGCGTTCTGAACTACATGATCGCTACCAGGGGTAACCCGAAGGACTATGACGAATGGGCCCAACAGGGGAACAAGGGATGGGCGTACAAGGACGTGCTGAAGTACTTCAAGAAGCTGGAGAACATGCAGATACCGGAATTGAGGAACGACAGAAAATACCACTACACCGGTGGTCCCGTGACCATAAGCTACGCTCCGCACAAGTCGCCTTTGCTGAACGCGTTCCTGGAGGCTGGCCAGGAACTGGGATACCCGTTGGTGGATTACGACGGGGAGAAACAGATCGGTTTTTCGCAAGTGAAATCCACCACGTTGGAAGGATACCGCATGAGCAGCAACAGGGCTTATCTGCACAACAGGCGGCGCAGGAATTTGCACGTGACGAAAATGAGCATGGTGCACAGGATACTGATCGATAAAAAGAGGAAGCAAGCTGTCGGGGTGCAGTTCGTGAAGTACAATCGTCGTATAACGGTGTACGCGAGGAAGGAGGTGATTTTGTGCGCTGGTGCCATTGGGTCGCCTCAGTTGTTGATGCTGTCTGGAATAGGACCCGCCGAACACTTGAAAAAGCTCGGTATCGACGTGGTGAAGGATTCCAGGGTCGGGGATAATCTAATAGATCACATAGCGTATGGGGGAATCGTGTTCACTCTTGACGAGCCTGTCAGTGCTGTGATGCACACTCTGGCGGACATCACGCAACCTTACGCCATGGATTTTCTGTTGAATCGTAAAGGACCGTTCACGGTCAGCGGTGGAGTTGAAGCGCTTGGGTTTGTGAATGTGGATGATCCGAAGGATCACGACGGACTACCGAACATAGAGTTCATGTCGCTTATGGGATCTGCGTATACGATCAGAGCTAATGTAGAGAACTTTGGATTCAATCAGGAAATAACTGATAAGTTCGCGGCGTTTCAAGGCACACACACTTGGGGTACATTCCCGATGCTGCTGAAACCGAACAGTCGAGGGTGGATAAGGCTGAAGTCCAAGAACGCGAACGTTAAACCGAGTATTGTTGCCAACTATTTGGACGACGCCGAAGATATCAGAGTCATACTGAAAGGCATCAGAATGGCACTACGAATCGGTCAAACGAAAGCTATGAGGAAACTCGGTGCGAAGTTTTATAATAAAACGGTGGCCGAGTGCGAGAAATATCCGTTCGATTCTGATGACTACTGGCTGTGTAACACCAGAATGGAGACCCTGACTATTTATCACTATTGCGGAACCTGTAAAATGGGTCCCGTCAGCGATAAGACTGCGGTCGTCGATCCAACTCTGAAGGTACGTTAAGATCTTGCGAAGATATTTTTCTTCAAGGATACCGACACATATGTGCAGCTTTAAGTCTGATGACAAATGCTCACATATGTGAACATTCTATTTTTCATACTTCTTTCCAAAATTATTTAAAATACATGTAAGAGTTAAACCATTTCTTTACAGAACTTTAAGAAGGTCCTTAACCTTTAAGAAAGTTAAATGTTTTTTTCATACCTTCATATGTGATTCATATGTGACACACTTCAAGTTATAAAAGATTCATTTTATTACGAACATTTTGACTCGTGCAATGATAAATAATTTTATGAACTGTGTACAGAGAAAGTAGGTAATTATTGTCAGAATACTGTTGCAGGACATTCTGACTGTAGAGTACCATTTATATTACATAAACATACAGAATTATTTAGAACATGTAAATTAAAAATTCATTCAACAATTTTTGAAGACATGCAAAAAACAGTTCCACTATAATTTCTTAAATTAACTCTAACAATTTATGTAACATTGCAGGTGATTGGAGTTAAAGGACTCAGAGTAGCAGATGCATCCATAATGCCAGACATTCCAAGAGGCCACACAAATATCCCAGTATTCATGATCGCCGAAAAGTGCTCCGACATGATAAAAACAGAGTGGGGCTATCCCAGCAATGACGCAGTATAATACTTCAAGTCATCCTCCCAACCTTGTACATAAAACCTAAAGACCTTTTTTAAACCGAAATAAATTGTCGTAGAACTAAAAAACTGTGCCCATAATTACGTGAGTAGTCATCTAAATTCGAGAATAAAGGTGCAGCAATCTGCTCCGTCTTCGTACGGACACAGAAGTGGAAGGTGAACGAGACGAAAACAAATGTACAATAAGTATGGGAAACGATACGAGTAGGGGTCGACCAAGTCCAAGTTAATGTTACTCAAGCTGGGTAAGTATTACGTGAACGACACGAGAAAGCGCATTTCTCTAGTGGATCTTGAAGTGGAAAGTGAACACCAAGTCCTCAGAAGCAGTTTTGGCAGCCGGGCGACATCATCAGAGATTTTAGTGAGGTAAGTCATTACGGTACTGTTCAAAATTGTTTACGTGTACAAACTTTTGTGTGAGATAATTGTTCAATGTTTCTGAGTTTCTGAACGATCCTCCTAAGTTTCATGGTCTTAGCGATGATCTTCCTAACATTCTGAGTGATCTCTTTAAGTTTGTAGAGTTCCAAATTTCTGTATGATCTCCCTAAGACTCTAAGTGAGTCCTTTAAATTTCTACATGATTTCTTTCGGATTTTAAACGATCTCTATGTTTCTACATGATCTTTAACATTCTAAATGATATGTCTTTCCAATCAAGAGCTCAAATTTCTAAATGATCTCTTTGAGATACTAAATGATCACCTAGGTTTCTAAATGAACCTTCGAAATTTCTACATAATCTCTTTAAGACCTTAAACGAGCTCTGTAAATTTCTACATGATCCCTCGAAGACTCTAAACGATCACTCTAAGCTTCTACATGATCTCTTTAAGATTTTAAATGATTCCCTTAAATTTCTAATGGTGATCTTCAAATTTCTACATGATTTCTCTAAAATTCAAAATGACCCTTTTATAAGTTTCTAAATAATCTCTAAGATCCTAAATAATCTTTAAGATCCTAAATGACACCCCTAAGTTCTTAATCGAGACCTCCAAATGTCTGAGTGACGTCCTCAAAGTTCTAAATGATCTCCTTGAAATTTTAAATGATCCTAAGTTTCTGAATGCTTCCTCTTAATTTCTAAATGAGTCCCATACACGTTTAGATGAAATTGAGAGAAATAAATGAAGTGAAGGGAAGTGTTGATCCCTCCAAATTTCTATATTAACTCTCCACGATTCTAAGTAATCCTTCTAGGTCTCTAAATGATCTCCTTAAGATTCGAAATAATTTCTCTACATTTCTGATCGTTCTAAATTTATAAACGAGTCTCCTAAATTTTTAGATGAAAGAGAAATAAATTTGAAAATGTTGATTCTTTTAATTTCTAAATTAGCTTTCTAAGATTCTGAATGATCCCCCTAATTCTAAATTTAGAATTTAGGTTTCTAAATGATCTCCCTAAGATTCGAAATGATTCCTCTAAATTTCTGATCCCTCCTTCAAAAATCAGTTTCCTAAATTTTTAGATGAAATTCAGAGTATTAAAAATCAGAGTAAATTCTTAAATATCGATCCTCCAAAAGTGATCCATCACTTTTCAAGAACAATACTGAATATTCAAAAAAAAAAAAAAATTATTGATAAAAATAACATTGGGTCTAATGTCCTCTACTGGTCATATCTATGCAACTTTAATATTAAAAGATAATAGCAGTACTTATGTAAATAAGAAAGCATAAAAGTGAATGTGTACACGCAATACATGCCAAATTTATAGACTTTTTGGTAACAAGTCAGAAATGAAAGTAGAACTTGGTCACGCTACAAGATTTCGTTGTTTTATTGTTTCCTTACACATATTGCAAATATTGAACGAAATTTCACATAATTAATAAAAAATGAATCATACGAATATAGTGAATATTTATTACAGGAAATAATATGTATCAATTGTTATCAATTCATGGATTTTAATGTTGCATAATGTTGTTACATGAATGAAACACAAAGTTATTCGTGTGTGACCTACATAGTTACACACATTAGGTATACAGTGAAAGCGCACGTGTTTGTTTCAATGAAAGCGAAGTTGAAATGTCAACAAGCAGATCGTGAATTATTTATGCAAAGATCCTCTATATTTTATATAGCGACCTCTATTATGTAAACAGGCATGTGATGTTAACAAATACGAATGTGAAAATCTTAACTTTCTAATGATATCGATATACAATATAATACAACTCACAATATATAAAATAAATATAAATATAAATATAATATACACATAGGTATGTGTAAGAGCTAGATTTTAATTGTAATGTTGAAAGTTTGGGGAATTACGGATTTTAGTATTATAAGGAATTGGAATTTTGAGAATTAGGAAATTTTGAGAATTTTAAAAACTTTAAGAATATGGGGAATTTGAGAATTTAGAAATATTTCAAAAATTTTTAATCTTTTAATTTAGTAATGTTTGAACTGCCAAATTTACTAAGTTCAAGGTCTTCAAGTTGGAAAATCTGGGGAATTTGAAAATTTGCAGAATTAGGAAATTTTAAGAATTTTGAAAACTTTTAGAATTTAGGAAATTTGGGAATTTAAGTTTCTAATTTAGAAATTTTTGAACTGGTAAATTTACTAAGTTCAAGGTCTCAAGTTGGAAAATTTGGAAATTTGGAGAATTTGAGAATTTTGAAGTTTGGTGATCTCACATTTGAGAATTTAGAAGTCTTGAAAATTTGGCAAAAATTACGAAATTTGCAAACTAGTAATTTATGAAATTGAAGAACTTAAAAATTTGGTAAATGTAGGGAATTTGAGGATTTGCAAATTTGGAACAATTAAGAAATCTATGAAATTTGGGAACTTGGAAATTTACCTAATTTGGAAGAAGGAGAAACCGTGTGTTTTTTTAAATTTCGTAAATTTAAAAAATGTTGAAATTTGAGAAATATATGTACAAAATTTCAGTTGAATTAATATAATTCCAAATATCTACATGACCCCAAAAATGTTTATAATTTGAAACATTTCAAAGTTACAAAATTTAAAAACTCGACATTCTAGAAATTTAACAAGGTGGACAAATTATTGCAGTTGTAAAATCTGTCTGAGATAACAGTTCAATGATAGCGTACAAAAGTCCGCGAAAAATTATTATACTTTAGTCAGTGTCGGAATCTGTAACGCCATCATTGTGGCGTCCTCTACATACTGTAGACTCCCTCGGCTAATTTTGCGACTACATAACTTCCGCAGCGTAAGAAAAATAACAAAAATTAATTACTACTTGTATCGATTATATAATACTTCGACGAATTCAATATTATCTGCAACAGTGATTCTCAATTTATGACATATGAAAAACAACAATTTTCATGAAAGACAGCTTGCATTTTAATTAAAAAATGCATGTGTACATTTGGGTTCATAAACATCTAAAAATTAAAAATCTTAACAAGACAAATAAAAATAGTAGGGTAAAGATTTTATTAAAAATATTAATGGTATAATTAAAAATAGTGGAGTAAAGTATTTTGTTAAAAATCTTAACAAATTTACTAAGTATAACTAAAAATAGTAGAATAAAAATTTTATTAAAAATATTGACAGTATAATTAAAAATAGTGGAGTAAAGTATTTTGTCAAAAATCTTAACAGATTTACTAAGTATAACTAAAAATAGTAGAATAAAAATTTTATTAAAAATATTAACAGAATAATTAAAAATAGTGGAGTAAAGTATTTTGTCAAAAATCTTAACAGTATAATTAGAAATAGTAGAGTAACCTATTTTACTAAAAACCTTAACACTACAACCAAAAATAGTAAACTAAACTATCTTATTATAAAAACCAGCAGTACACTTTAAACTAGTAAACTAATACTAGTAACTAGTAGTAAACTAGTAAACTAAAAATCATGTCAATCTCTAAAATTTCTATCATAACAATATCTACTAAAACCGCCTTCCTCTTTTACAGCACTATGACCAGCCTCACCGCACTACTGTTACTGACCCTCATATCCCTCAGCCAATGCGAAACGTTTCTGAACGCGATAAAAAATTACGGCCCCTCGCCAGAAGTTTTAAATCGAGTCGATCCCAACAACAAGAAATACGATTTCATCGTAGTGGGTGCTGGATCGGCAGGTTCCGTATTGGCTAATCGCCTGTCGGAGAACAAGAAATGGAATATTTTGTTGCTGGAAGCCGGAGGACCCGAGAGTCTTCTTCATCAAGTGCCGATACTCGTGGGCTATTTTCAGTTGTCCAGCTTCAATTGGGGCTACAAGGTCGAGCCCCAGAAGAACGCTTGTTTAGGAATGATCAATCGACAGTGTTCCTGGCCACGTGGCAAAGCCCTTGGTGGAACGAGCACTCTTAATTACATGATACACACTCGGGGAAACAAATTGGATTACGATATCTGGGCTGCGCTGGGAAACGAGGGGTGGTCTTATAACGATGTGTTGCACTATTTCAAGAAGAGCGAGAAATTTGATGTCCCAGGTGAGACAGTACGATCATTTCTCACATTTATTATGCACAATTGGAATTTTTATATTTTTGGAACTTTTTGGGAAATTTGGGGTGTTAGGGTTTTGGGACTATTGGAGAAAGGGGTGTTAGGATTTTGGAACTGTTGAAGAAATGTGAGGTGTTAGGATTTTGGGGCTCCTTGGGAGATTTGAGACACTAGACTTTTTGTATTTTAGAATTATTATGGAATTTTAGAATTCTTATATTTTGCCATTTCTGCAATTTTAAAATATTAGAATTTTGGATCTTTGAAATTTGTAATTTTGAACTTTTCAACATTTGAACATTTGAACATATGAACATATAGACATATGAACACATGAACATATGAACACCTGACATATGAACATTTGAACACTCAAAAATTTGCAAACTTGTTAATTCCTTAATTTAGAAATTTCAAAATTAACTCGATAATTCCAAATTCATAAAACTTGTCCTCCATTTTATATAACCAAATGACATACACGAAAGGCACAAAAACCCTACAGCCTCGCATAAAAATCATGTAAAGATATGCACGTGAGTCTCCAGATCCTCACACGCTGATCAACATCTCAAATCCATATTCAACAGTCACAATTAAGCCACATATTCATGTCCAGGCATCAAGAACTCCTCGTATCACGGTTACAACGGCTACCTCTGTGTGGAGCACGTACCCTACCACACAGAACTAGCGAAGGCGTTCCTAAAAGCTGGGACACATCTGGGTTACAAGATCGTGGACTACAACGGCGAGGATCAAATAGGGTTCTCGTACATCCAGGCGAACTTGGACAAAGGAACTAGATGCAGCGCCTCGAAGGCGTACCTTCGGGTAAACAGACCGAATCTGAACATCGTAACGGGAGCACAGGTCACGAAGGTGTTAATCGACGAGAATAACCGAACGTACGGTGTCGAATTCAGTCAAAACCACCAGTCTAAGCGAGTATTTTGTTCCAAAGAGGTGATCCTCTCTGCCGGTACCATAGACACCCCAAAACTGTTGATGCTATCAGGGATAGGACCGAGGGAGCACCTGGAGGAGCTGGGGATCGAGGTGATCCAGGACTCCAAAGTAGGGTACAGCATGTACGAGCACGTAGGGTTCCTGGGTCTGACTTTCTTGGTCAATCAACCTGTGTCTCTGTTGCAAAGCAGACTGGCCAGACCTAGTGTCTTCGTGGAGTACCTGCTGCACAGAGACGGTCTGATGTCGCTTCCTGGAGGAGCGGAAGCCTTAGCGTTCATGAGGACCAAGTATGCTCCCGATAGTAGGCCGGACGTGGAGCTGCTGTTCGCTTCTGGATCCCTGCACTCGGACGGAGGTCTACCTCTGAAGAAGGCTCTGAGGATAACCGACGAGCTGTACGACACCGTTTATAAACCCATCGAGAACAGAGACGCTTGGTCCATTTGGCCCATAGTACAGAGTCCGAGGAGCGTTGGTAGACTCACACTTAGGTCAAAGGACCCATTCGAGCCGCCCAGGATGGAGCCTAACTTCTTCACCCACCCTGCGGACGTGGAGATCATCCTGGAGGGCGTAAAACACGCCATCAACATCTCGAAGACACCTCCGTTTCAGAAGTATGGCAGCAGGTTGCACGATATCAAGATTCCTGGCTGTAGATCGTTCGAGTTTGCGAGCGACGATTATTGGAGGTGCGCCATTAAGCATCTGCCTTCCATGATGAATCATGAGATAGGCACCGCGAAAATGGGACCGAGGGACGATCCGTTCGCGGTCGTGGATCCTCAGTTGAGGGTGTACGGTGTTCGGGGGTTGAGAGTTGCGGACGCGTCGATAATGCCCTCTATGCCCACGGGGCATGTGAACGCGGGCATTTTTATGATAGGGGAGAAAGCGGCTGATATGATTAAGAATGACTGGCAATGAGGTTTTTGATTTGGGTATTTGTCGGTATGGGTAAATATCTTTATAAGATGTGTGAGTTATCTGAATATTTTTCGTCAGATAGTTAGGTTATTGAGGTAAGTATTTCCATGGGATAAGTAGGTTATCTGAATAAGTATTTTCATGGGATAAGTAGGTTACCTGAATAAGTATTTTCATGGGATAAGTAGGTTATCTGAGTAAATACTTTGGAAGATATGTGAATTATCTGATTAAGTATCTTTATTATATATGTGAATTATCTGAGCAAGTATCATCACGATGCATATGAATTATCTCAGGAAGTATCTTCATGTATATGAGTTATCTCAGTATGTAATTTTATAAAACATGTGAGTTATCTGAATAAGTATTGCAATGAAATATGTAAGTTATTTAAATAAGTATCTTTATGATATATGTGATTTATATGAATGCATATTTTTAAGAGATACTTGTATATTCTCAAATAATGAGTTTCATACTATGAATGTAAGTATATAAATTCTACAAATTGCAATTTGATGTAAAGTATAGTAGACTCTCGTTATATTGCCGATTTGGAAATTTGACAATTGGAAATGTAGAAATTTGGCAATTGAAAATATGAAATTTCAGCAATCGGAATATATGTAAATTTAGATAGATTTAGATTTTGTAGACTCTCGTTATATTGCCAAATTGGAAAGACAATTGGAAATGTAGAAATTTGGTAATTGAAAATATGAAATTTCAGCAATCTGAATATTTGTAAATTTAGATATTTTTAAATTAGTTTCCTACTTTTTTATCACCCTGTAGAAATTTTGTAAATATACAATATAACTTTTCTATTAAGAAATAATGCATATTTAAAAATTTATACATAATACCGTTAAATGATATTTTAAAAATAATTAAAAATTATTCTGATCAATTTATTTAATTTATAAAAGAAAAATTACAATGTAAAAGTTTCGAAAATTGAATTTTACTCAATTAGTCTTTATAACGTCAATATAACGTAGCAATTGATGAATTACTGCGTATTTATCTCATGCGGAAAGTCTCCCGAAAATTGAGACTCATCAAGTTGATGTACACAAGGTTATAAGGACAAACGTTAATTACGTGATGTACTGTTTTATTAAAGCTGTTCCATTTAAAAACTTCGTTTTGTGGTGCTAGGAGCGATGAAAGTAATTTTACTTCATTAATTACGTAAGAGATCACAAATTATTTGCGTGCAGAATGCATCGCGGAATAAACGAGGGACCTATATATACCGCTGTTCATTCGACTAAAAGGAAATTTTATGCGCAAAAGCATGCAACAAGTTCGTCAATGACGATAAATGAGGGATGAATCATATGTACATACTATCTCCTGATATACTTCTGTATGAAATTCGATAAGAATATACTTTCACTAATGACTAATATACTGACATTTATGAAATAAACAGAAATTGATATTAAGTTCAATTGACAATTGTAATTGAGCTTGAAGGAAACTGAATATTTATCATGTAATAGATAAGAATATACTGATAGTCATTCTATCTGCAATAATTTAAATAAGACTATTTATCAGAAATGTTTGTACATATTTTTATCTGATAGTTTATCAAATGTCAAGTATGATATATGTAAATGATTTAATAAAATTATATACAACTTATCAATGAGATTTAAATATAATTATGTAAATTATTTGATTGCATATATGTATAATTTAGCATGAGGGACAGATTCAATCAATGTTTGGAAATATACGTAATGCGTGTTTCACAGAAAAGGATATTGGTAAATTACTGTTACTTAGGAATTTTTATTTCAACAGGAACGGTGACTGGAGGTCACAAATATTTTCTAGCAAAAATTATACTCAAATAGTTTTTATTGTGCATTTCTTAGTACTTTAATATTATATGGAATTATAACTATACACCCAAAAGATAAATTCAAAATAACTACTATATATTTAAAACAGAAACCAAAACTTCCGCTTTATCCTGTAATTTAATGAAGATGTCAGACGATCAATATGTATGGCCAATATTACAAAATGTTTAATATTTACCAATTCTGAAATATTGCCAATATACATTGATGTCTTGATTTCTTCATGAAATATTTAATGATTAATAAACGAATAGCAGATACAACTTTAACTGTTTCGAAAGTAAATTATTTCCTTTATAATCCTATATATCTTAATGCAATTTTTGAACCTGACACTTAAAGATTTTGGTATATAACGGTAAAAGTTTTTGTTGAAGTACTACATTAATGATCTGTGCAATGACACATAGATACAGAAGTTTTTAACCCTATGATCTTGTGTTCAATTGACTGAGTTGAACTACAAACGTAAATGGAACTTATCAATTTCACCTTGAGATTATTCAGTCCAAATTCATAATCTTTTCACCAATATATTGCAAAAAAATTGTTATATTAGTTTTAATTAATTAAAGCTACTAACATTCAATGTACTTATTTTTTAGTAGAAAATAATATAATTATTCCTCATTTCTATAAAAGTAAATATATTTTGAGAAAAGCATTTTCAAAAAATAATATAATTGAAAATAAACAGTTTGAGGTAAGGCATATTGATCCCTTTAGCATTCAATATTATTATATAATATTTTTGACATTCTATATATATGTTGTCAACCGTTTCATTATACAAAATATATACATATAGTTAATTACATTGTTATTTCCTACCTTTTCTTATTAATATTCTAACAACGTATTTCATCAATTCATGACTCACATTTTTTACAATAATAGATATACCTTTCTACTTTTGTAACAAACAAGTTATTATTAGCTCAAATATTATCTAAATAACACACGTCAAAACTGATTATTTGAGTAACATATTATTTTATTTGGCTAAATATTATTAAAAATAATAGTGCATTATTTTATTTCAACAAAATTATTTCCCCATCTTGCATTTAAATAATTTCTCAAATGTTTGCTTATTCGTTTACATCAACATTATCAACTGCGTCAGTAATATAAAATTTCCTTAAAATGCATGCACACAACACAGACATGTTATTCAAGAATAAATATGTATATAAATGCTATGTATACATATATTTGAAGTCAAATAAAAGTAAATTCATTCAGTTGAAGTAAAAGGTAATCTTATCATTCCTCACAACTTCCTGTATTGAATTATGTATTATTTTATTTGAATAATTTAATTAATGCAAATAATAATTTATTTAAATTTTAAACAAAATAAAGTTTTTTTTGTATTATTTATAAAGTACATTTGAGGAAATAATTTATAATTTTAAATGTTTATTTTTTATTTTATTGCGAACAAAAAGTGCCTAAGTCTACATAACACATTTACACCTAATAAGTATCTGTTTACACATGCACAAACTGAGCAATGTAAATAACTGCATGTGTGAAGCTGAACTCAAAACACATTGATGCTGACAAGGTCAGTAGCTAATCATGTTGTTTGAGGAAATCTTTGCAAGTGAAAATATTTAAGAACGAATCATTACTGAACGATAATCTTTTAAAACGCAAGATGTTTCATGACCAATGTTATATCGAGAAAACCGGTAACGAGTTTGGTAATGGATCAAGCGTGGCAGCTCTAGATTAATATATTGCAACGCTCGATTAAAACATTAAAAATGACAGGTTCTTAATTTATTTACATACCTGATACGACGAGAGCTTCGTTTGGACCACAAGTGTGAACGTTTCCCATTGTCAAGCTTTATCTCGACGACGATGTAATAACAAACCGGCACCAGTAATCCGCACTAACACAGTTTTATCACTAATACACTAATTTTTACAACAAATTGGCAGTGATAAAATATACGAATTATTTCAAAAACCCCGGTAAATCATTAATTACACGTAATAACCCGTGTTCGTCACGCGTCGTAAGGTTACGATGTCACTCAAAGCCACTACCCAAAATTATTTGTAGCTTTTGCAAAACCCTAGCTTGCGACGTTGCCAACCTACGAACTACTGCGCAATTTGCGAACAACTGCAAAAGATTGGTGCTCCTGAAACACTTGCGCATGCTCCTTGAAATGTGCGGGAAATTCAAACTACTTACACTTCTCGATAGCCTATTATCTTTATTTAAACAACAGACATACATTACAGATTTCTATACAAATATACGTTAGGCGTTTTCATGAATTAGTTTTTGTCTCAAAAAGGTTGAAAACATTGTTTGAATTCACCTATTTTACATACTTTACAGACTATGACATGGTTTTTGCAGACGTATGGTACTACTGTATAGACAGCATCAACTGAACATAGCTCAGTTTGATGAGAATGTGACTCAACATAACCTTAAATATTTGATATTAGTATTATTGTTTTGGTTTATACGTAAATATCGTATACGGTATAATATTTTATTTTGTACAAAGTATTATTACATATCGGCATGATGTCGGAGGACGAAGTAGAAAGCTTTGAAATTACGGATTACGATCTCGAAAATGAATTCAATATCAATCGTCCCAGACGCAAATTATCAAAGAAGCAACAAATGCTTGGTAAACATTTCATATGTTTAATATCTACGTGGCTTAAGATCCTTAATCTAATCCCTTATTTTAATTTTAATATTAATTTTAAAAGTGCCACAATTGATTTTTTATAGGTATTTGGGCTGATGATAGTGATGAAGAAGAATTATCTACAAGACCGTCATTTAAAACTTTTGATAAAGGGCCAAAAAATTATACTGCGCCAGTAAATTTTGTAGCGGGAGGTATTCAACAAAGTGGAAAGCCAAAAGAAGAATCAGAAAAAAAGGATGATAATGAAAGTGATAATGAAAGCGAAGGCAAATCTCAGAGGGAGTTTCCAAACAGTTCAAGGTAATGAAATACATTTGGAGGAGCTTATTTGAATATTTTTATAAAAATAATAATTACATTATCGTTCTTTTGTAGTTCTGAAGATGAACGGCCAAGTAATGTTCAACAGCGTCCATCCTTTTCATTAAATACAGATGGTGATATTGCCGGTTTACGTAGAAAGAAGGCTAAAGTAAATCCATTGTTAATACAAAGCGGAATGGGTAGTTGGGAAGTTCATACAAAAGGTATTGGCGCTAAACTATTACTACAGGTATGTATGAAACATTCATTTATATATTAATATCATCATTATTATGCAATCATACTTACTTGTTTATATTGTTTCAGATGGGTTTTGAACCTGGGAAAGGATTAGGTAAACAGTTGCAAGGTATAAGTGCTCCAGTAGAAGCACATTTGAGGAAAGGTAGAGGAGCAATTGGTGCTTATGGGCCAGAAAAGTGTCCAAAAGTTCCAGAAAAGAAAAAAGAGGAAGATGCGGAGGATGGAAAGGAACCTAAAGCTAAATTATCACAATGGCGGAAGGGAGATGGAAATGCTGCTAAGAAGAAAGTAAAATATGTTTATCGCAGTGTTGATCAGGTTATAGAAGATGGAAAATTGAAACCTAACAAAAAAGTGAGAATCTCAAGTGAAATGAGCAGGGTTAAAGTCATAGATATGACTGGTCCAGAACAAAGAATTCTCAGCGGATATCATGCAATAGCTGGCGGTCAACAACGACCCGATGACAATATCATTATCACTGACAAGAAATCAAAGGTTAATTTTGCATTGCCAGAACTTCAGTATAATTTGAATGTACTTGTAGATATGTGTGAACAGGATATCATACAAAATGATAGGAGAACAAGGCATTTAAGTGACAGAGTAGTTGCACTAGAAGCAGAAAAGAAAAACTTAGCCAAAGTCGTGGATCAACACGACCATCTTATTAATACTTTAGAAAATGTCCTCGCAATCGTAGATAGACTAATGGACGAAACAAATCAAATGTCCTTACAAGAAACTGCAGAAGCTTTCAAAGATTTACAAGATAAATATTACGAAGAATATAAAATGTATGAACTTGGTGAATTAGCCAGCAGTTTTGTTGGGCCAAAAATAAAAGACTGTTTAGTTAGTTGGAATCCGTTAATACAACCGAAACAACCCATTAAGTTATTTGAGCAATGGAAGTGTATTCTAGAAAGTGGCATTACTACCCTTCAAACGAGAACAATGCATCCATATGACCACCTAGTTTGGAATTCGTGGATGCCATCGATTAGAGGGGCTATACAGTATGTATTTATTTTGGAAATTGATAAAAAGACATTGATATAATCGTTGAAGAAAATTCTTATTTTAATAATTTGTTGCAGGCAGTGGACTTGTAGGGAGCCAGTACCACTTATTGAGTTAATAGAATATTGGATGCCATTACTTCCAGCCTGGATATTAGAAAATATTTTAGATCTGTTAATTCTCCCCAAACTTACCCTAGAAGTAGAGGAATGGAATCCCCTGACTGATACAGTACCTATTCACACATGGATCCATCCGTGGTTACCACTGTTACGTTAGTATAATTTATTATACTATTTTAATATATTATTTAAGTAAGCAGTGTTGGTTTAACAGTATATACTTTCATATGGACAGGTGTTATCTTATTCTTATCATTATACTACTATACTACTATTTTATCATTCTACAATTTACAGTAAACTTTTAGCACTAAGAGCTCAAAGTAAATTCAGTTGGGTTTCAACTGGAATGCCACTTTCTGTATCCGGTGGTATGAACGGGTACCAAAATGCTCGTTATTTCGTAAAATCTTGTATGTCAATTGATAACCTTGGTGTTGTATTATTACAGGAAGTCGTTTGGATACATCAATATATCCAATAATACGACGTAAATTAGGATCGGCGTTAGGAGGTTGGCATCCGTCCGACAGATCTGCTAGATTAATGTTACAACCGTGGTCCAATGTGTTTGCGAAAGGAGACATGGAAGCCTTCTTAGTGAAAAATATTATACCGAAGTTGCAAATAGCGTTGTCAGAGTTTGTTATAAATCCGCATCAGCAACATTTAGATCAATGGAATTGGGTTTACGAATGGAAAGAATTGATTCCGTCTCACATAATGGCAGGACTGCTTGACAAATTCTTCTTCCCCAAGTGGCTGCAAGTTCTTGCGCTTTGGTTGAATCATTCCCCTAATTATGATCAGGTTACAAACTGGTACATGGGTTGGAAAGGCATGTTAAGTGAAAAAATGTTAGCTGAGCCTTTGGTGAAAGGTAAGTCTATAAAGTCTCTATAAAATAATTGTAATCAGTGCTATTTTAATTATGATAGAAAGTGCAGAGTTGTTTATTAAAATTTAATAGGTAATCTACGTTGTTAAACTGATTCGTATATTTATTAATTTACAGAACACTTCAAGAAAGCGTTGGATATGATGAACAGAGCAGTTTCCACACCGCAGAGTCATCAACCCGGTGCGATGGAGCAAGTTTCGTATTTAACGAGCTTAGAAAGGACTCAACCTACCATGTCACAAATGCCACCGACCGCCCAGCCAAGAATGGAAGTACGTTTATTCTTTAAATTTATGCAACAATTTCTTCCATAACATGTCGTTTTGACGTTACTCGTAATAAAATATCTTTCCCCTTTTCAGAGACTCGCCGAAGCGGTACGGACAGCGTCGCAAATACCTCAAGGTTTCAAAGACCTTGTCCAAAAGAAATGCGAAGAAAGAGGCATTCTGTTTATGCCTATACCGAATCGGTATAGAGAAGCAAAACAAGTTTATAAAGTGGGTAATGTCCAGGCTTATATAGACGGAAATGTCTTGTTCGTCTGTCACAACGGCATGAATTGGGTGCCGACGCATTTGAATGCTTTATTGGACATGTCAGAACTTTAAGTGTAACAATAATCTTGATTTATGATGCGAGTTCAATTATATGTAACTTATCTTGTACATATGTATACTGTAAAATAGTATTGTGATAAACGATGTTGAATAATTGCATTGTATAGAGTGAATGATTACAAAGAAATTAATTATTGTCTTTTGTACAATTTGTTGTATGATATTTTATTGTTAATTACTTGACAATTAAGACAGAATTTATCAGATCAATGTCTACCATTCTTGGGTAAGTCAGTACACCTTGTTTCGTCATCGTTGGACACCCTGTACATCCTCGCTTTACGCATTATACTTGCAGCGTATATCGTGGAACTCCATCTGAAGCTCTACGTGTTTCTCGCGATACAGAGAACATCTCTTTCCTTCGACGATACTCCTGGCATTCACGTTTCACGAATGCAGTCTCGGTTTCACGGATGTTTGTCTTATTGACCACTTCTGTTCGAGCCAGTCGAAGTCGAACGCGTGTAGGCGCCCCTGGTTATCCCACTACCGAGACGTAGCTATAAAACTCCTCGATATGGAAAGTTGTACGTGATCCTGCGGAGTGGTACGTATGTACCTACAGAGTCGCCCAATAGGCACCGTGTATCAACCACCACGATGTGTGCCGGTCCTGTGTACCAGCCATGGGCGCCACCATGCTACCATCGATGCATCTTATCAACCTTATTGTGCAATTTCTAGATCACTAATTAATTCTACAAGGACATATTATAGCTGATCGGGGTAACAATAATTATAATTGGTAATAAATTTTTCCAAGGGGTGATAACGCTTTGGGGGTACGGTTGGGGTATCTTTATACTTTGAAAAATATTTTATATTTTCAAAAACAAAATAATAAAATAAGTTTGAATAACGTGAAGGAAATTTTTAAATTTGTAAACAGATTTATATACAAATTACATATTCTGAGGAAATCGAAAAAGAGGGATGTAAGGGAAAATTATACTTTGTATTCATTTTGTGTTGTCTTTCTACATTTTCAAATTCATAAATTTCTAAATCTTAATATTCAAATTTCAAAAATTCCGGAATTTTCAAATCCCTGAATCACCACACCTCTGCAATCCCCAAAATTTCAAAACTCTCTTCCCAAATTCCTCAACAATAAATTTTCGAATTCCCCGTTTTCGAATACTCAAAGTTTAACCAATTAAGGACAAAACGCCTTCATCCATCATTAGCATCGAAACAATAATGACAATAGCGAGCCGAGTGAATCCACGCGAATATGCGATTCCATCCTTATAAGAAAAGGAGCTATTTTTGCATTCCATCGTGAAACGAGTCGGATACTAGGTGACGCCTATGGCACCAACACCAACGACGCCATGTCTGGTACAAGTGGAGGACTGGTCCTGTAAGAGGATGGACATCTCTCGCCTACACGCCTAGCAGATCTCTACTCTCGGGTGTCGAGAAAATTTGCATCGTATCCGAGTGTCTGCCTAGTAACTGGCTGCCTTTGCTGCAACAGACTCGAGACGAACCCTGCACACTCTTTCTCCCTTTTTCTTTTGCACGAACGAAAGTGTGCGTGCAATATGCAGACACGCGAGCCGAGCACTTGTCGAACCTGACCAGATCTTAACTTCTATCGTATTCTGAGACACTCGTCGAGAGAAGTTGTCGCCCCGAGAACGGGGAAATATTGGGCCGACGACCGCGTCGTTGGAAAAATAAAATGGCGTCGGGATTCTTGGAGGTGCTCGCGCTCCGTAATAACTAGACTGCGGATATTTATGCATTTACGAAATATCAGTGTCGAGATAAATCACTTATAGTGGATCTTATAGATTACGTGATTTATTTGTATTTCGCAGAGATTAGCGTTAATGTATAAACATCTGATGCGCTGTTTGAGACCACCTGAAGGACTGTACTCGTTTGTAAAACTATGTAAAATTGGGAAATTATTAAAATATTTTGAAATTATCAAGATTTTAAATTTGTCAGTTCTGAAGTTCGTAAGCTTCTGGACTTCTAAACTTTCTAATTGTCGAGTTTATAGAGTTCCACCTTTTGAAATTTCCAAAATTCCCAAATTCTCAGATCCTCAAATTTGTTAATACTTAACTTCTCAAATTTTAAGCCATAAAAAATTCTCAAAATATCCAAAGTTCGAAATGTTCAAAGTTCCAAATTCTGAAGAAAACTTAATCAGATCCTAACCTAGCATTTCCTGGTCTCCTAATATGTCTCCTACATATGCATATAGATTACAAATTATACTTCCCTTACTTTTTATTTTCGACCAAGTTAAGCAAAATTGCAAAACCGTGTGCGGTAAATTGCGCAATAAGGTAAAATGAGTCCATAACAGTTTTTTTTCATGCAATTTTGTTGAAACAGTGGTGTCGTTTTATCATACATAAGTGGAACGCCATTACTCTCTTCCAGGAAACGTCGATTCGAGAATCGTGCGAAAGAGTCACAGTCAAAATGAAGGTTCCTCTCTTTCACCTGTTATCAACAAGATTTCATTCACCCGAGGATGATGGCGCAATCTCGATGGGCCTGTCAATAAGTATACCTGACCCATGCCCATACTTATAATAATTTTTATAATATGTTGGGTATCGTAAAAGTCAGTGGTGATCCGTGATATAAATTTTATGTAATCGAAAAAGTAAAGGCACATCAAGATTTGAATTATGTCAAGGTTTTATTAAATTTGATTTTTCAAGATTTTATTTTTTGAATTATCAGTTTGATATTTTGTATTATTAGTATTAAATGTTTGATTGTATATCTTATTGTTATAATTCAGTTTCAAATCTATTTTATATTGGATGGAAACTATAATATTTAGGAGCTGTTTCAGAGTTATAATTATATATATAATAATTTTGAGGGAAATATATGTTTATATAAATTATATGCATATGTATATTCTGTTCCAAAGTAACTAATTAATATTTGTAAGTATTTGTGAGACATTGAAAAATTAATAGTAATATCTGTATATGTGATTTGTGGTTGATGAGTTTAGAAATCAATAATAATATCCACATACGTGATCTGTAGTTGATGAGTTTAAAAATCAATATTAATACTCACATATGTGAGCTATGGTTGACGAGTTTAAAAATCAATAGCAATATCCACATATGTGATCTATGGTTCACATGTGTATGTGGTAGCATCCACACACGTGATCTCTGGCTAATGAATTTACAAACAACAATAATATCTACATGTGTGATCTTTGATTAATGAATTTAGAAACACAGTAGTAACATATGTGATCTTTGATTGATAGAAAAAAAAATGATAACATCCACATATGTGATATCTAGCTAATGACTTTAAAAATCAATAGCGACATCTACACATGTGATCTCCGGCTAATGAGTTTAAAAGCAACAATAAATCCACATATGATCTCTGACTGACAAATCTAATAACAATAGCAAAATCCACATATGTGATATCTAGCTAATGACTTTAAAAATCAATAGCGACATCTACACATGTGATCTCCGGCTAATGAGTTTAAAAGCAACAATAAATCCACATATGATCTCTGACTGACAAATCTAATAACAATAGCAAAATCCACATATGTGATATCTAGCTAATGACTTTAAAAATCAATAGCGACATCTACACATGTGATCTCCGGCTAATGAGTTTAAAAGCAACAATAAATCCACATATGATCTCTGACTGACAAATCTAATAACAATAGCAAAATCCACATATGTGATATCTAGCTAATGACTTTAAAAATCAATAGCGACATCTACATATGTGATCTCCGGCTAATGAGTTTAAAAGCAACAATAAATCCACATATGATCTCTGACTGAATCTAGTAACAATAGCAAAATCCACATATGTGAACTTATGACTATGTGAACATATGTGAACTGATTACTAACTATAAAAACAACTACTATAAGTAGTTCTAAGCATAAAAACATCCACAACCTCTGCTAAATTTAAAAACAAACTAAATGTCCACATATACGTAAATATCCTTGAAGAAGTTCATCCACTTATCTCCACGTTCTTAACTCCTCCGAGGTTTCGATACACACAAGTGTCACCGTAGCAAACGGGTTAAACATTTAATCGGTAATGTAAATAGTTGATTAGAGAGTTCTATGGCCTGGAATAGACAGAACGTTCGTGGACATATGTTTTCAGCAAAACGTGATCGCGCCCAAACATTCCAATCCCACGCAAATCTCTGTCCCTAAGTTCCTCCACGAAATGCCAACTACTCATACAAGCGTCAGAACGCTTTATCGATCGGCGGCCATTAATCGGTGATCGCGTTCCTAAATAAGTAGAAAGTTATTTACTATCCGGAAATTATGTTATCGCCACGATTAACGATAGGTAATCGTTTCGGTGCTGAAGACATTAATTCAATATTAATACTGGGGTGAAGTATGTTATTACTGTTCATTTAAATTTACACTTTACGTTTTACTCGTAATACATTCTTTGGAAATTTATGTTACAATTTATAATAAAATTGTAATGTAATATTAACTACTTAATAACAGATGTTCAACGTATATCTACGTGTAATAAAATATTGAATATTATTGTACTTCTATTCTATATTATATTTAAAAAATTAATTGTATATTAATTTCAATTTAACTGCACATTTTAATGTATATCATATTTTTATTAATATTAAGAAGTACTCGAGTAGATTTTTGAGTTTTATTATATTTTTAAATAAACTTAATAATACATGTTTAAAGTATACCTATATTATAAAATACTGAATTAATGTAAAATAACGAAAATACTTGTGCTCTCATTGTGAATTATATTTTAAAAATTAATTCTATATAATGTTTTTATTACGTGACAAAAAGAGTACTCGAGATTTGAGTGTTTCAAGAAAGTGGTTTGACTACGATGAAGTTATTGAAATATTTGAAAGAGAGAGTATCGAACGGTTGTACGTAAGAAATCGATGACAAGGGACGACCTGGAACGTGTCAGGAACGTTGCGAAAGGAATTTCAGCTTTCCTGATTAATCCTGTTTTTTCGCGATTCGTTGCGGAAATATAAATTGTAACTTTCGTTGACCGGTGCGTGGAATTAGCTGCGTTAATGGTATTCGTGGGTTATGCAACATTTTATGAAATTATATTTTGAAAGGTTAATACATGATTTTATCTTGCCGTAGACTTTAGGTGACCGTTTGTACCGTTACTTTATACGTTAGGT